TACCTCCTGCTCCAGATAAGTGGCATCCACTGAGGGGGGGAGGGGCATGGAAAGTCACAGTCTCATGATATCACATCATGTGGTTAGTGTTTGTAAATGTTACAAAGCAAGCATGGAAACTCACCATGAAAAAGAACAATTGGAGCATGGATAAGGCAACATCTAGGCCAACCCTGAGTCATTTCAATTACATTAATAGTTCTTGTACTGTTAGGTTTTTTTCCTTTTCCTTTCCTTTTTTTTTTTTTTTGCAAGAGCAGTGATCTAACTACACAGGCAGATAGTGCCTGCAGGCAGATGAGAATATCTCCCCACGGAGAGAACTACTTCCTGTGATTTCTTAAACCTGTTGATGAGTCAGCATGAATGGTGCTGCAGATCGGGAGAGTGATTTTGGCAATGACAGCTGCTGCAGAGAGATGTAATAGCGCCCCGGACAAAAGGAAATTATTTAGGGACAATGTAATCCATTAGCATTGAATCTCCCGTATGAGTACTAGTAAAAAGGTTACCAACACAACCTAAACAGACCATAACTTGGGAGGAAGGTGTAGGCAAATATCAAATGTAAGTGGGTTGTGGATTTATAATTCGGAAAGAGGTCAGTAGAGGAAGCTGCTGCACTGTCATAATTAACTGAAATTAATTCTGCTGTGAAAAATCCACTCTGGAATAATCTGTTGTGCACATGTGTGAACTCAGATTTCAGGCTGAAGTGAAAACACCTTATTCCAAGATTGTTATTTGACCTATGAAATCAATATCTTGTCGTCACCTCCCCCTGTTATTTTAGGAGGCAACACCTGCAATTTTATATCACAGTCCTTAAAACTCAACATATGTCAACTGATACTTCAGAAGGATGTTCTTTTTCATGTCTTAGTTCAATTTTGTTGAAAAATTGAGCTTTAGATATACTAATACCTGACTAGCGTGCTTGCTAATTCCTTCTATATGTACATAGTGGAGTATGAACTTGGCCTTTATAATTGGTATGACTGTACTGGTATTATTCAACAGCCACTAAAGTCCTTTGTCAGGAATCTGAAAGTATTGAGTGATCTTTAAATGGCAGCTCTTGAACGGCTAGTGGTCTATGGCAAAAGACAATAAAGCAGCAAACCAAAGAAGTAGAGTCCAGTGCAACTGTACTAAACGTATTGGACAAAGTGAAAGGAAAAAAGGTTGCTGGGTAGATATTTAGCAGTCAAGACCCTATAGTTCAGGCAGTGATTGGATCAACAACATCTCAGGGACACAGATAATGTGTGGACCTCCTGATGATGACTGCCTGCACCTGATAACCCTTTTTCCAGTACCACTGTACTGAAAAGCAGGAAGAACATTAACGTGAAAGACTTTCAAGCACCTTCCTATGTGGCCACCCTAAATAACAAAGAAAAAACACTAACTGAGACAAACAGTGCTGTCTCTTTTTCTGTTTTACATAATATAATAAAATGTTTCAATAACTGGGCGAACTGCTTCAGTGAGACATGAGTGGTGTGAAGGGCCCTTTCACATGTTGCCCTAATTGGCAACGATCTCAGGAAAACATTATGGCCACTTTGCTGGAGCTAGAGTTTCCACAGTGCCTTGAGAAGTGGGAATGAGTGTTAATCCATTTGAATCCTGTGCACAGCTACGGTGCTTAAATCCCACTGAAGTAGCCTTTAGCTTAGAGCAGCTGAATTGCAACTAAATAAAGAACCTCTCTCCCTCCCCCCTCCTTTTCTCCCTTTTCTGACTTGGCTTATGGTTGGCATTCTCCTGAAATCTGGGCAATTTGCTACATAAGTGATTCCAGGATTTACTGTGGGTCAACAGGGCTACTGCCTGCTTGCCCAAGCACAATCTGTTAGCTTAACTCTGTACAGATAAAGGCATTGCATCATTCCATACACTGCAAATCTGTATGGCATAAATGCTAACTAAAATGGGCAAACAGAAGATTAGAAAACATTTAGGGCATTCTTGTTGTGGTAGAGCCTCCACAGGAGCCTACTTGCTTTGCATGTACTGATCTTTCACGTTTGGGTTGTGGGTTTTTTTTTAGTAAACACATAGGGAGAACTTTGAGTTTATTTCTGTGGGTATAGTAAGTTGATCTTTCTGGGCAAGAACATAGTGACATTGTTACCCGATCAACTGAAGGCCTCGTTATGATGCAAAGTATATTTTTATCATATGGACTCATATTGCTTTCCATGGGTCAAACAGCACATCTTTTTCTCCTGGTGTTTCCTTTGCAGTTGTGATAAAGTCAAATTCCAATGGATTTAACGTTCCTGACTTTACACTAAATAAATATTAGTGAATCTACACAGCCAGTGAAATATATGTTTAGTTTGGTTGAATGTCTGAAGTTGCCTTAGTATCTTTAAGGATCACTTCATTCTGTAATGAAGAGTGTAATTAAAATAGGAAGAGAAATACGTCCAAGCATCAGTCAAATATTGGAAGCAATTTGGTGCTGAAGCTGACCGCCAGCTTATGGCACAAGGTGATCTCAAACACAAAGCCTTAAATAAGAACAGAGTGTCTTTCTCCTCCATAAAAAAGAATGTATCCACCTAAATGCAAGGCTGTTCTCTTTTTTGGCACAAATTCATATTAGGCATTTCCCCTTTCTTTTAATTTTCAGTTAGCAAACGTCCATTACTTTATTTATTTACTGTAAACAAACAGCTGATAGCATTTCTTAGGAACACTTTTCACTGCCAATATTTGCTACTGTTCTGGCTGTCACCCACTTTGTGACACCATTACTTAAAGGACACTATTTTTAGTTTTGTATCATTAACTCCTTCTCAGCTGCACTAGACATTAGCACTGTTTCTCTGCCTTGATCTTTAGGTTTATTTCTCCCTTCCTGGTTTTGGGCAGGAGTTGCCTAACAGTGCAGTGCTAAGAATTATGCCTTTCTAAGCCCATTGACTTCAGTAAACGTAGAAGGGTGCAATTCTGCTTAGGACTGCACTGTATGTCACACTCATTATGCAAAAAAGTATAAAACCCACACAGGTTCCTTTTGGAGAGTCATTTCTCTCTGTTGGTGTATTAGCACCAATCTGATCAATCTGGTAGTACTAGTGAGATATTCCTCAATACACTGCTGGAAGAAAGCAGAACTTGGCTATGTGATATTGGTGCCCTTCTCCTACTTTTAAATTGGCGCTGGTGGCTAGAAAACTTTTTTTCCCAGCGTTCTTGATGGTAACTCCTTCCGTGCTGTAAGATGTCCAGTGGCTCACCAAAAGGACTGGAGAATTTTCTCCATGTCCCTGCAGTGTTGCTGAAGGTTTCCAGTGGTGTGGACAACATTCCCATGGCAAACCACTGCATTTGAAAGCGTCTCATGTGACAGCAGCTCCTACAGAGAGCATTAAAGGTGGCTATTCTGTGATTGTTTAAAAGGAAGTGGGAGATCAAAGTGACTCCCAGATGCTAGCTGTTCAGATCCATCCACTCTCAGCTGAGTCAGGCCATTGACAATTTTGGGTAAGCCAAAATGATCTACCCAGTGATTTGATTTAAAATATTTGCTATGTTGTTTGTGTCTCTTGCCCACAGTGACACAAACCAGTGTCGACTGTGCAAAAGTGCTGTTAGTATTGCAAGGTTTAGCTGTTGATGACAGTCCTTTCTTAGGAGAGGGAACTGGCAGATATATATACATATCAGGTTAAAACTGAAACTATTTCCAGACAACTGCAAGCATAGTAAATGAATGTGAGAAAGGGGCGGACGGTGTTTATTGGCCCAAACCTTGGACTTTCCTCATGTGTCTGTCAGGGTCAGTGCATGCACAAGCTATGTGCGTGTACGCTCTGTTTGCATAATTTGCAAAAAAACAAGGGATACGGATTGCACTGAGAGAGCCCAGTTGGGATAGATGCTCACAAGGGCTGACAACCTCCAGGCAGTGGCTGGGGATCTGGGATTACAACTGATCTCCAGGTGACAGAGATCCGTTCACCTGGAGAAAATGGCCACTTTGGAAGGTGGACTCTGTGGCATTGCACCCCACTCCCCTCCCCAAACTGCCCACAAAGTCTCCAAGTATTTCCCAACATGGAACTGGCAACTCTATCTCAGAAAAGATAACACCATTATAGATATGTAGGTGTTTAAAGTTGGACTAAGTCAGTGCTAATTTTGATGCATACTCCTTAAAGGTAAAGGTTCCCTTGCTCGAAAGCCAGTCGAGTCCGACTCTAGGGTTGCGGTGCTCATCTCCGTTTCAAAGCCGAAGAGCCAGTGCTGTCCGAAGATGTATGTGGCCAGCATGACTAAACACCAAGGCGCACGGAACGCTGTTACCTTCCCACCGAAGTGGTACCTATTTATCTACTTGCAATTTCTTGCTTTCAAACTGCTAGGTTGGCAGGAGCTGGAACTAGAGACGGGAGCTCACTCCGTCATGCGGCACCCGGGTCTCTTACTCCTTAGGAGAAAGTAAATCTTTGGTTTGTGTGTGTTACATCTGCCAGACGAAAATGACAAAGCCGGGGGTAACCTGAAGCTGCAGAGACTGGGAATAATGGACAGCCATCAAAAATAGGGTGTGTTCCTGTAATTCAGAAGAACTTTTATTGAAATCCCCCTTCATCTGTTAGCTGAGAAAGAACTCATTCACACCAACAAACAGGAGTGACTAACTTAGCAAAACAGGATTTCATCTTGGCAGGTATAAATACTCTCTTATGGACAGGCATAGTGCACTGGCAGTTTGGACAGTACCAAAGGAAAGAACTTGACTGCTGAAGTTAACAAGGGTTGTTCTCAGCCTTAGATTCCCTTCCATAATACACAAAAGGGATTTAAAATACTGGGAATAATAATACACACTTTCCTTAAAAGGCTGTTATGATTTCTAAGATCTTTAGAATTGTGTTGTTGTTTGTGTGGATTGATGACTCTCCCAAAACCAAAAGCAACATTAACTGATGGCTGGTATGTCTCCTCTCCCCCTCCCCCACTCCTCCTCTCGCTTTCAGGTTCTCCCGATCAGATGAGCTTTCTCGACACAGGCGGTCTCACTCTGGAGTGAAGCCTTATCAGTGCCCCGTGTGTGAGAAGAAATTTGCTCGAAGTGACCACTTGTCCAAGCACGTCAAAGTTCACCGGTTCCCTAGGAGCAACCGCTCCATGCGTTCTGTTAACTGATGCCTCCTGTCCTGTACCTTTTCACTCGTCCGTCCAAGAAGAGCCGCTGGCAGCACTTTGTTCTGTATCTTTCTCGTGATAATTTATTGGTCTCCATGTAATAGGCCACATCATCACTTCACAGAGCCCCACCTCCTTGCATCATGTTTTGCATCGACACCGTTTTTGCCTTATTGCTTCCCTTTTCGTCGCTGCTGCTGCTTCTTTTGAAAATTACAGTGTTTTATTTTTAGCTGTTTTCTCCTTCACCATGATAATTTATGGGCTACTTGCTGCTATTCAATTATAGTAATTCCTGAGGGCTTTGCTGATGTACAGGGCTATTCATTGTGAGTTTTTATTAAGCTGGCCTATTTGTCCAGTTTGGAAATGGCAAATTCCTTTTGAAATGAAAACAACTCATTTGTTTTTGTGGGATTTCTTTTTTATGCTGCTGGTGATGGGGGTTTCTTTGCCAGGAGTTAGTACAGACTAGCAAAAGAGAATGAGTAGACGGTACAGGTCTGGGGGAGGGATTGCAAGATTACCAAGCAGCTGGTCTTTTGCTAGTTTGTGCAATAAAATGGTGTTCTGTCTGTAACCAGTACTGTGGTTTGGAAAGCCAGTAAATACCAGTTTTTGAGAGGTTTTGACCATAGCCTGCCACCTTCTGCCAGGCTCCATTTATAATCCTCAGATGCTCCCCCCCTTCTCTACCACCTGACGAATTTGGCCCAAACCTGGCCAATGAGTGTCCTCCAGGCCTTCACAACCTGTGAAGTTCTTCCTTAGTTCTACCCCCAGTTCCACTCAATGGCCAGAATTTGTGAAATGTCTGCAATCCAAGGGGGGCAAGAATACAGGGCTAAGGATGTGTGCCCCTTGCCCAGTCAACCAGATTCCTAGAGCGCATCATGCTTGTTGACAGTATTTTTTTTAAATCATAAATCCTCAAACATTTTTTTTTAAAAAAATAACATAAATCCTCACATTTAATGTACCAGAGCTCACAGTTCAGTTCAGCCAGTGGTCAACTGCTTTCCCGAAGAGGGCAGAATATGTCAGGAGGGATCCCAAGGGCTGCATCTCCAGGTTACTCAATCATCCCTCCAGAGTCTTTTCCATTGTTCTCTGCTAAGACGTTCCCCACGATGCAGAAGAATTCATGGGACCCCTTCTGAGCAGCTATACCTTGTGTCAGACAGCCGCAATCCAGCCACTGTAAGGGCTGCTCTTGCAAAATTTAAGCAGATTAAGGGCGAGTTAACAGAGATGGTTGGTGCCGGGGAGAAGCACGGGCATTGGTATAGAGAGGGCAGGCCCACAGCTAGCCAGGTGCTGTTGGGGCGGCGCCCCCTCCCGATTTTGCCCTGCCCCCTCCTCTCCCCACATGTTTGCAAATTGGTTCTTATTGAGGGCAAAGGTATACAATCCAGAAATCATGTCATGAACGGACTGAAGAGAGGAGTAGTATCTTGTTTCTGTTGCTCAGTTTGACACCGCATTTTCCCTGTGGGTACAGCTTGGGTAAAGCACAGTTCCCGTAAGGTTCCATGTGCTTCTTTCGGAAAACGTGAGCATCATCATAAAAATGGCCTCTACAGGCCACAGCAGGAACCGGGATTGCTTAGTACCTTCCTGAAATGAAGTGTGATTGAAACACTCAGCCTGTTTCCCCATGTTTACAGTATGAAATAAAATCCTTCTCCCCAGTGGGCTGGGGTGGGATGACTTAAGACTTAGTGAATGTTTTTGGGTTTATTTAGAAAGCACTTTCAGAGCCATAGGCAGCAAGCGATACCCGTGTGCGGCGTATCTTCATGGGCCACTATTCAGAGAGCAATGCAACTGGGTCATCTCGTGTACTCGCCAGCTTGTGTGGTATCTGACTTAAGGGCTAAAAAAAAAAAGGGAATATATACATACATATGCATACATATACATATATACATGTAATCCAATGCTGGCAGAAGTATTGTGTTAGGAAATACTTCTTTTAATTTTCTTTTCCTTTTTTTATGCTGCTGAATGTAGGAAGCTTTCTAGCATAATAGAATTCAGTAATTAGAGAAGATTTTTTTTCTTTCTTTTTTTTTTAAAAAAACAAGGATGTTGCATCTCCTCTCCAATCGCAGAGGTTGTCTATGGGCACAGCTGAGCGGACGGTAGTCGTCATGCCCAGTCCCATTGAAAGCAATGGAGCAGGATTAGTCATGGTCATGGGCCAGGGGTCATTTGGGGGGGGGACGCGGGGGGACGCCATCCCCCCGGGTGAGGTGCGGGAGTGCGGGGCCTGGAGCTCCCTGCTGGTGCCCGCTGGAGGTCGCTGCCGGCTGTGGGGAGGACACACTTCCGGTGATGTCAGGGGGTGGGGCATATGCTAATGAGTTATGCTAATGAGTCCCCCTAGCTCTTTTTCTATGAAATGACCCCTGGTCATGGCTAACATTCATGGGCTGCCGCTCCACTCTGCAGGATTGTGCCCTGTCTGGTGTTTCTTTTTGTTGTTGTTGTCGTAGTTGTCAGCCAAATGGGAAATAAAACACTGCAATTCTAGCAATTTCAGCAGGTCAACGTGGAGATGGTGCCACCACGTCATAGCAATAGCTCCACTATCTTCCTCTAGGAATGCATTCCTTTGTGTCCTCTAGGAATAAACAGAAATGAGTCTTTCTTCTATCGACTGGTTTTTATCTCACATCCTATGAATGTATGTAAATAAAATTGTACATATTGCATATCTATATAAAATATCTTTTAATAACATGACAGAAATGGTGTAAATTGGAAAACAAAAGAATATAAAGCCAATTGTACATAAGTTACAATTCTGTATATTTTTTTTCTTTTTTGTTCTTCATAAAATATATTTACTTTGACAATAAAAATAAAATTGAAATTTTACAAATGACACGTGCTTTTTTTGGCTTTTGCCCTTCTGTTGGCAAGTTCTTGAGCAAATCGTGCCCCGGGGTGGGGGTGGGGGAGAATGGTATGGTAAGAAGCTGTAATGGTTAGTGGTTGATGTTTTACATCCTAATCCTGTGCAGAGTTACTTCAGTCTAATTCCACTAATTTCAATGGGTTTGGAGTGGAGTAGATCTAAGAACACTTTGCAGGGAGTCAGTCCCATTCAATAAAATGGGACATGCTCAAGCCCTATGTAGAATTGTTCCCATAGGCACCTTAGAGAAACTATTAAACTGGCAATACATGTACATTGGATCCAGTAGACCGACTTGGCCTTTCTGATTCGGCTTGCAGAGAACTAAGCACAAACTGCCATTGTTTGCCAAAACTTTGGCTGTGATTTATGAACCTTTCACTAGGAGGTTGGGCTGTCGACATTTTCAATGGCTTTTCGTTTTGCAAGCCACTGTGGGCCATTTGGCAACCTCCCTGTAGGGCGCCTGCATCCCTCTGGTATGGCACAACTGACAGTGTGGAAATCACTGATCTAGGAAAATCTGCAACTCGGACAGATGGTTTGGATTTATAAATATCCATATCCACAAGCACTGTAACACAAAATATATGCAAGCGCTTTGGTCTGAGATAGGAATAGCACTTGCTGGTGCGTGATTTAAGTCTCAGAAATTCTTCCATTGCGGGAACTTGAACTGGATAATTATTATCCAGCCTTGCAAAGTTAGTGATTTGTTCTTATGTCTCTGTTACCTTTGAAGTGGGATACCCAGATCTCACTTATCAGAGGCTTGAGCTCCAACAGTTAATTGAGGATTTTCAGATTTTAGCACAAATGAGATCCACAAACTCCAGGATTATAAAAAGTGGGGAAAGAAGCAACATAGATCACTCGCACTTCGGTTCTCCCCATTTTTTGTACTGTATGAACACTCCCTTATAGGGTTGCCAGGTCTCCCCTGGCCACTGGTGGGGGTGGAGGGATATGGTTGCTAGCCCCAGGTTGGGAAACTCCTGGAGATTTGGGGGTGGAGCCTGGGGAGGACAGGGACCTCAGTGGGGAAGGGTTGCCAGGTCCCCCCTTGCCACCAGTGGTGGATTGTGTGGTAGGGCTGCCAGATCCAGGTTGGGAAACTCCTGGAGATTTGGGGGTGGAGCCTGGGGGAGGACAGGGACCTCAGTGGGGAAGGGTTGCCAGGTCCCCCCTTGCCACCAGTGGTGGATTGTGTGGTAGGGCTGCCAGATCCAGGTTGGGAAACTCCTGGAGATTTGGGGGTGGAGCCTGGGGAGGACAGGGACCTCAGTGGGGTACAATGCCACAGAGTCCATCCTCCATTTTTTCCAGGGGATCTGATCTCTGTAGTCTGGAGATGAGCTGTAATTCCAGGGGATCCCCAGGTCCCATCTGGAGGCTGGCATCCCTAGGTACAATGCCATAGAGTCCACCCTCCAAAACGTCCATTTTCTCCAGGGAAACTGAGCTCTAGTCAGGAGATGAGTTGTAATTCCAGGATATCCCCAGGTCCCACCTGGAGGCTGGCATCCCTAATCCCTTACCCTGTGGCAGCAAAGACACGACATTTCTGTGGCTTGATTCAGAATGATTTTATACAATCCACAGAACCTCTTCCTGGACACTGCCACTTTAGACTGCAAGTATGGAGGTGTTGTAAGTTTGAATGTACCGCCATTAAAAAATAATAATAATAACCTGCTTAAACATAGAAAATGATGATGTCATGGAGAAGGATTCAGGCTAGCTTTCTCTCTTGACCCTTTCGAATGGGAGAGAAGTCAGACCTACAACCGCCCAGCTTTGGGTCTGAAGTGGCATTGATCAGGACTAGGTTTATCACTCAGTTCTGCTGATTGTACAAACTGCCTTTATCCATAGCAAGATGAGTTCTCATCAGCAATTGCCTATTTCATCAAACATTTACATAAATGCTGGCCTCTCCTTTTCTGTGATCCAAGTCTTGCCTAGGAAAATACAAGAAGGCCCCTTAGAAGCAGAGGCCATTAGCACTGTCATGCTTACATTTCCCTAAAGGTAAAGGTTCCCTTGCTCGAAAGCCAGTCGAATCCGACTCTAGGGTTGTGGTGCTAATCTCTGTTTCAAAGCCGAAGAGCCAGCGCTGTCTGAAGGCGTTTCTGTGGACATGTGGCCGGCATGACTAAACACCAAGGCGCACGGAACGCTGTTACCTTCCCACCGAAGTGGTACCTATTTATCTACTTGCAATTTCTTGCTTTCAAACTGCTAGGCTGGCAGGAGCTGGAACGAGAGATGGGAGCTCACTCCATCATGCGGCACCCGGGTCTCGAACTGCTGAACTACTGACCTTCCACAGCCTGCAGTTCAGCGT